TCAGCTAATAAATTTTTAAAATAAAAATAATTTGTTATAAAAATGTATAATAGAAATTGATAAAAATAACAAGTGACTCTGGGTGTCTCCTGGGGATTGGGCATCACCTAAGTACCTTAACTCATTAGTTCATCATCATCCAAGGAAGCAGGTATAGTTCCTACCCAAATGGAGACTACATAGGTGCTTTGTTTGTAAGGAGAATGAGCATTCAGAGGGAGGTATCCTCCGGGAGGGTGTCAGTCAGGGTGAGCTGTAACAAAGTGCCCCAGAGTGGATTTCATAGACAGCAGAAACGTGCTGGAAGTTCTAGAGCACAGCGCTGGAAACTCTGCTGTCCAAGGAGAGCCGGTTCCCTAGTTTTCAGATAGCTGTGACCTCACCTGTTGTAAGAGAAAGAGAGGGGTCCCGGGCCTGTTTTTTAGGGGCATTAATCCACTCTCGTGGGTCCTACCCTCATGACTTAATCCCCCCTTAGAGGCCCCATCCCAAATGCTATCACTACGGGGATCAAGAGTTTAAAACATTTTGAATCTTAAGGGTATACAAACACTCAGATGAGTGCACATAGCTAGAAAATGATGGAGCATGCTCAGTATAGGGATATATTTCAAGAAGGAAAGATGTTAGACACGTTTTTGGTCATGCTTAGTTTGTAGTCATAACATATGTGTCCCGAAAAGGAAGATGGCAGTCAGGAATGTTTTGCAGTGCTCAGTTCAGTATTTAATCAGCCAAGTTTACTCTAGGTTGCAGAAAAGAATAAGTTGGGAGTGGCTAGGTCTGAACAGTCCTGCAGGGCTGCGTGTTCAGACCTGGTCAGAGTGTGCGATGGACACTGTTGTGAACCAGAGAACGTAAGCTCAGGGTGAAAGTTCACAGAAGTCATTAGATTCTGCTACACCTCCAATAATTTAATACCTCCTACAGTTTTCCCACCGTGAGGTCATTGGCTTTTCAAATTTTCTCATGTTGAGCTAAATTATGCATAGCCTTGAAACTTCTATCAGTGTATCTTTTGATTACACTGAAAGTGGAATGGAAATACAAGCACTTTAGAGGTTTTATTTGTTTCTCTATTTCTCTTGAAAAAAAAGTTAGAAATTTGGATTTTAACATAAAACTTCCAGTTCTAAAAAACAAGCAAGCAAGCAAACAAACAAACAAAACGCATGTCACCAACTTGGTTTTAGAACGGCTGGATTGCAGTTGGAGAGCTGGCTCAGAGGTTAAGAGCACTGTTTACTCTTCCAGAGGTTCTGAGTTCAATTCCCAGCAACCACATGGCGGCTCACAACCATCTATGATGAGATCTTATGCCCTCTTCTGGTGTGCAGGCGTACATGCAGACAGAGCATTCATATATGTAAAAATAAATAAATAAAATTAAAAAAAAATAAAAAAGAATGGGCGGACTGCACTCCTGTGTGAGAGACCAACAGCCCTCCAAGGCCAGTGGCTTAAAGCCATCAAACGTTGCTCCTTGCTAGTACCACTTGCCATCATAGATCATCAGGGTTTCTGCTCTTGGAAAGTTCCAGTGATGGGTCTGTGTTAATTTCCGTGTAAGAAGAAGCTTCTCTGACAAGGGTTGAGTAAGTCACTGACCTATGGGTATAGCAGCAGGAGTCATTTTCCTGCTATGTTCCTTTAGCAGAACAATCGCGGTAGATTTTCCCCTAGGGCTCAGGACCTATCTAGTCTCAGGTTCTTGGCCACTTCGGCAGTTTCAGATATGGGTTCCATCTCATGGAACAGGCTTTCAATTTAATCTAAAAAAAATGGATTGATTAACATTTGTGCCACTGCCACACCAGTACATCTTGCAAACGGGTTGCTCTAGCACGTCACAGGGGGTGTGGCTGTGTGATGCTGGTGATGACTTTTTTTCCCTCCAGTAGTGTGCAGGACACCTTCCAGGACCAGGGACACTGGTCAGTAGGAGTACAGCTTCTAATTAGGTACCGGCTCGACTGCAAATTTTCCCTAAAGTAAAAATATAATTTTCAGAAACACCAAGCAAAAGCTCATCCCAAAACTGTTTGGTTCTTGAAGGATTACAATTGGTTTATCTGGAAAACTCACATTTTGCTTAATTTGGATTAATGACATCTATTTAAACTCCACCTGCCTGAACTTTGCAATAGCCTTTGCTGAAGTTCTTTTTATAAATGACTGTGCCTTCCAAAAACCACTGCTCATATATTTAAACTGTGTGCTTGCGTTATCCTGTGTTGTGCAACTTTTAACTTGTCTTGTTAAGTTTGCTACAAGATAAGAATCTTCTCTTGTTGATTTACGCTTTTACGCTTGGCGTTGTAGAAAAGGATAATTTAATTGACGTTAATATGCCTGATGGGTTTATCAGTTAATAGTTTATAAATCACTGTAATTGGGTATCTTGGCATGGGGAGACGTCACGGAAGTTGAAAACACTTCAGATAATATGTTTGGAGTTGCTTGTTTTGCACTGTGTAAGATCTAGAAAGCCAGAGTTCAGTCTGCCTCAGTTTCAAGTCAGCTCCAGGCTTATGCTTGATGAACCACGGGGCAATCAGACCTTCTTTTCAAATATCATTTTTCTGTGATGTTTTCACATGCTTTGTTTGGCTGTAAGATTTGGATGAATTTTAACTTTAAAAAAAAATTAGGAAGGAAATACAAATGCTTGGGAGGGATTTGATTGCCCAAGATTTTGCAAAGCCCCAAACACTCTTCAAACTAAGCCCATCCTAGCCCTTCAGCACACACCCTTCCTGGATGAACACAGAAAGGGTGACTCTCACCCTTAGGAAATTCAAAGCGCTCAGGGACAGTGACATGCGAAGACAGAGCTTGGCCCAGAAAGACGATGTCTATAATTTCATGGCGGAATTATTCCCCGTGGGGAAAGTTTCACGAACACAGTTACTCACTGGTCGGATCCCAACCATGCAAGCATGTTTCCAGAATCAATCACCCTTAAGCTGTTCCACATGTGCTTGTAAATATTCATATAAAGTCCTCTGTAACAGGGACCCTCCTTGTCTTTCTGCTGAGAGCGAAGGTGCATGAAGGCGTGGCACGCCATGTGCTCTCTGGGCCGCGGGGACAAGTCTTTAGCTTCAGCCATGTGCAGAGCAAGTCCTTATTTGCCAGACGGAGGCAAAAGGTCTCACCTATATAATAAGATTGTTGTGGCGAAGTGAAAGAGCATGGGGCAACATTTGTGGCATGATGCCAGGCATATGGTAAGCATCCAGTGAAAATCAGCACACCATTCTAGGGCTGGTGGGTGAGGCACTTGCCATGTAAGCACGAGGGGCTGAGTTCAGAAACTCAGAACTAAAGTGGGGCACAGCAGCATGCACCTACAGTCTCAGCCCTGGGGAGGCAGGGATAGGAGGAGCCCTGGAAATTCACAGCCAGCTGTGCTCTCACACATGTGTTCCCTGATATGGGGATTCATACATGAACACGCATTCACACACAGACAGATTTAAAAAAAATCAGTGATCACAAATATTATCTTTAAAGTCATATTATCAGGGTGAAAGGGGAATAAGGGTTATTGACTCCAGCTGCCCGTCCAATAACTTAGTACCCACTACAATTCTCCCACCAAGGACTGTGGCTTTCACCCATTGAACTAAATATGGCTGCAGGCTGTCGCTTTCACCGCTTGTGATTACGCAGAACCCGTGTCAACCCTTTACTCCTGGCATCCTGGGGTGGGACGGAACACAGCTCAAAGCACAGCTATTCCCTCATTCCCCTGGAACGTTTCCTGTCTCACTCTTGGGATTTTCATTCCATCTCTCTCCTTCCCTTCAACACCAACATTTTGGAAAGACCCTTCTATAGATGTGGTTTGAACTCCGTCCAGTCGCTCTTTTCTCTTCAGCACCTGGAGCACAGAGTGATTTGATGGGTCTGCCAACTGTAGCGTACTGGCTCCTGGAGTCTAAAGCTGACAACAGAAACCGTCAAATCGACCCCTTTTTAGAACTCTCTAGAATCGTCTGATCACCGTGCTGGTTTTAACAAAACGTTCCTCCTTCACCTCTTGCTAGACCCTTTGTGAAACGCACACTGGCATCTTTATCTCTGCTTTGCTGTTGGGGAAAATGAGTCTCTGGGTGTCTGACTTGCCCCGCATTTGAAAGGTGTGGGGGGCGAGTCAGGATTTATCATGACTGTCTTGTCCTCACAGTCCCTGTACTACAATGTCAGGCCTGTCTATGAAGTCAGGTGACTGTGGAAAGTCGAGATAAATTATCAGAATGGCTGGCATCACTGGCACACTTTATGCAAAAGTCCAATTTGTGAAAATGAGAAGAAACACAGAACACAGCCCTTCTCCTGTAAGGAGGATTTCAATAACACACACACACAGGCATAGGCACACAGAAAGGTAACAGTAAAATCTGTTTCACGTGGGACACAGCTCCTCGTTCTTCTCCTCAAGATCATCTGTGGACATGTGGGCATAGTTACACGGAGGTAGCAGCACAGGAGCAAGAGCAGCTGGTGTTGAATAAATAGAGACGCAACTACAGATGGGGATTCCTCTGTAGATTTTTCTGCCATGAAGCAATGCACAAAGAGACTCTTGGCCTGAGGCATAGACATTGGGAGCAAGAAATGAGAGTCCGGGGCAAAAGTAGAAGTGGAGGGAACGGAGCGGGTAGGAATCAGAGCCAGGAATATAGCCCACTTGGCACAGGACTTGCCCAGCATCACAGAGCCTCAGCTGCACAGCAAATTCAGGGCTATCTGGGCTACCAGAGAGTGTCTCACAGGAAGGAGAGGGGGTGAGATGTGTGCATGGATATCTGAAATAGAGCTAAAGGAGAGTAAGGCTGCAGGGAGACAGCTTCTGTTCCTGTGATTCTGGGGCCCTGCATAGGAATCACGTAAATGGTCTTAGACTCTAAGATATCTCCCATCAGTCACACTTACAAAATGGAGCCAGTCGATAGCATCCTAAGTGAGATGTCTTCCGCCCTCTTTCCTCACAGGCCGTGGGCTGTGATAGACAGCTGGGAAGCGATGCCAAGGAGGACAACTGTGGGGTGTGTGCCGGCGACGGCTCCACCTGCAGGCTGGTGCGGGGCCAGGCCAAGATGCACCTGTCTCCTGAGAAAAGTAAGTTTGGAAACCTGGTTCAGCCTTACTATAAACAAGCTGTGTTCTCTGTCTTACCAGACCAATGTATTTCTAATGCTGAACTTGTCCGGGTGGAATCAACTTTGGCCAGTTTTCAGAAGGTCAAATTCCTTTTTGAAAAATGAAGGTTTGTTTGTGTTTTTTTTTTCCAAAAATTTTTTTTCCCTTAAAAGAGCACATCAAATCGGTTTCTACCAAGTCTTTAAAAGTTCCCCAATTTTTTTGAACTAGCTCCACTACAAAATCTTGCTATTTTTTTAAATGTCTGGCAGTCAATTTATAAGTAGCCTAAAATATTTTTCAGGTAAACTGGGGTCATAATTTCATTTTCTTTGTCTTCTTTTGATTGTTAACAAGATAGAAAATTACATAGTATTTTATTTTATTTTTTTATTTTCAGTTGTCTATTGAAGCCTTTTATTTCCTATACTATTTCTTAATTTTTATTGCTATTAACTTTGTGTATCAGGAATGCTGGACTTTGGTCTGTCATACCTATTTCAAATGTAGTTTTTGGTCTGTTGTTTGGCTTCAATTTTGCTTGTATTGTGGAAGCAATGCTTTCGAAGCTGTATTTATTCAGACTTTTGTTTTCTCATTTCAGTAATGTCTCTCTCAGGGGTCAGCCGTATGTGTTAATGGCTTAGTTAGTGAATCCTTTAAGCTTTGCACGACATAACATCTCTGTCCTGGCCACTCAGAACCATTGTCCTATAAAAGCACCTACAGAAAAGACAGATGTGGCTATGTTCCAAACTTAATTTGAAATAAATAAGCTGCAGGCTGAAGTTAGCCTTCAGGTAGGAGCTTGTTGTGACTTTGAAGAAGAGAGAATATTCATGCACACCTTCTCCTAGCACTTCTATGGTTTTATTTTCTTCTATTCCATTTTTGAAATATTTACTTATATTTTATGCATGTATGTGCCTGAATGAACGTACATGTAACATGTGCCTGCCAGAGCCATAGAAGTCAGAGAGAGAGCATGAGGTCCTGTAACTAGAGTTACAAACATTTGTGAGTTGTTGTATGGACACTGGGAATTGAGTGCGGTCCTCTGCAAGGGCAGTAAATGATCTTAACTACTGAGCCATTTCTCTGGCCTCATTTTTATTGTTTCTTGTTCTCTACCCTTAAATTTTCCTACCTGGTTGTTACATGAAGTTAGGGTCTTATTTATTCCTCAGTTGAGGAGACCATTATAGGTATGGAAGAGAGGAGAAGGGATAAAAGAAGGGGGGCAGGTACAGAAAACAGGGAGGACAGCCAGAAAAGATCTTCCAAGAAGAGGAAACATTAGTCTAGGTGTGATACAACACCAGAGAAAAACCTGACATTTTGTTTGTGTTTTGCTTTGTATTCTTTGTTTGTTTGAGATAGGGTCTTGCCCTGCAGCCCAGGCTAACCATTTTAAAGCCTCCTGAAGGCTGGATTTCTAGGCACATACCAAACAAGCTGGGCTTTATTGAGGTCCTATTCATTTCCTGCTCAAATCTGAATATACTCTGAAAAGTAGACGATAAGACAGAGTGCTATTCAGTACTCAACCCTAAAAGCTGTCCTCAGTGTGCTTTGTATTCTGGGTTAAATGGAGCCATCAAAACAATTTAGGCAGTGGAGTGACGAGGGAGAACTTTCAGATCACCTTCAAGGACTTTCTGGTAGCAGGAGCTCAAATAGGAAACTACTTTTAAATACCTGAGGGCCTTGGTCTGAGTGTGGCAGGAGATGGTGAGGACCAGATATTTGGAAAACTATATAGGAGGAGTTTTTGGCTCTTTGAGTAAATGCTACAGTAAGAGACATGAGACAGCAATATTTTGAGCTCAAGCAGTTGCTGTGCTCATTTTTTGTTCTGAGCTTGGGCATCCACAGAAAGCAGGCCTCTATCAAGGGTAAGAGCCATCTCCCTGGACTTTCCATCTCTCAGGAATATTAGCTCTCTGGATAGTCAAGTCCTTTGCATCATTCCAACAGCTGTTGAGTGTATTTTGTTTGTGGTTAGAGGTTTATTAGGAACATACCAGCCTATCATGGCTGATGGAAAGATGTCATTACTTGTGGGATTTAGTCATGAGTATAGGTAGTGCTCCCAAAGAGAGCACGTAGAACCTGAAGAAGCCACGGGTTGCATCTTGAGGAACTCCAAGAGAAGAGAAGTAGGGAGATAAATGCAGACTTAGCGAGAGCAGAGTCACAGAAGCCAGTGGAATCAGTCTTCTCACGGAACCATGGTGAGCTCTGCCAAATGGTCTTGTGAAGATGGCTATTTTCACAATCCAGGACACACACACACACACACACACACACAGTGAATTTCAGATACATAAACCTGATCACAGTGAGTTGACGTGGGAAGGTGAGAATGTGTAGAGGGGTTTCCCAATGATAAGGAGGGAGTGAATTCAAGGCACAACTGGAGAACATGATGGTCAGTTACATGTGTTCCATCCTGTTGGCTCTGACTGGCTCTCCGTTAGGTGGAAAGGTTAGTCACAGGGAATAAGGACAAGTGAGATGTTTTCACTAGGGGATAAGGAGATGGAACTCGCTAATGACAACAAAAAGATGGATCATGGTGAAGGTCAAGCAAAGTTGGACACTGAATTCATGAGGGAGGTTCCATTCCCTAGACTTCATAAAGTAGGTGACCCTGGCAGCTGGTGACTCTGTCACATATCCCAAATCTCGTGAAACCGAGATTATAAACTTGCGAGTCGTATGTCTCCTCTGAGAAGAGTCTAGACTGGTGCTCAAAACTGGGAAAGGTGCTCTCTGCTCTGCAACATTTTTTCCAGGACTCCAACACTTCTCTCTTTAATCCTGGGACCATGAATTTGTCTTTATGGCTACAGAGTTGAATAGTTGGACATCACATCCAACTACCAAGTAAGAAGAGATGGTAGTAAAGACTGTTTTCCAATTCTGTGTCCTTTATTCAGAAAGAGGAGCCATCCCCTAGGACTTCTGTGTCACTGAGCAGAACTGTAGCATGTGACATGGTTGTTTTTTGAAAGGGGTAAAAGCCAAGGGCTAAGCTTCCCACCCGTAGCCATCACTGGTACCAAGACAACATAATACGTTGTGATTACCAAAGTTCTCTTCAGATGTGAGACGTCACTGCATTTCTCTAGGTTTCTTGCATTCCAGATTTGAAATTACCAAACCCCTCATACAAGGGGGGATATTAAAGACCAGAGATACTAAGATTTGTCCCTCAAAATTAATTCTAGAAAATAGCTTACAAGAGGATTTTAAGAAAACTGCTGCTAGGCATGGGAGAAAGATCCCAAGAATGGAGGGAAATTGGAGGAAGAATGCAGACCGGGAAGTTTGAAGAGATGGCTGTTCTGTGACTGCCTGATTCAGGCTGGCTCCCGGGGGGGAGGACACAGACAGCAAAACAGGTAGTTCAGTTCACTGTGCTAGGAAGCACCTAGAGTGAGGGCTGGCCTTCAGCGGCTTGAAAATTCATCAGAGAAGACTTTGTTTTTATCAGAGTCCGATGATGTTAGACACCAAGACCATTCTAATTGAACTGGAGCGGAAACCAGTTTTCTGATAGCATTTATCTGTTTTGTGTGTGTGTGTATTGGGGGGCGGGGGGCGGGGAGTATGGGGAAGAGGTCCTGAAATGGAAAGAGACACAGGATGGAATGTCGTGTTAGCTTAAGGGGCCTGCCTGCCAGTGTACCATTCTTTGTGTGTGTGTGTATGCAGCCTACGATCATGTTCCCGTGGGTGTGTACATCCAACTGTGTGCACATGCGCGTGGAGGCCAGAGGTTGTTATCACGCGTCTTCCTTGATTGCTTTTAGTGTTTGAGATACAGTCCTTCGCTAAATCTGAAGCTCACCGGTTCGTCTAGGCTAGCTGTCCAATGAGCCCCAGGATGTGGCTGTCTGCATCCCCCAAATGCTGAGAAGGCTACTGTGGGTCACTATGCTGGGTTTGGGCGCTGGGGGTCTGAACTAGGGTTCTCACACTTGTGTGGCCAGTATTTTACTGACAGCCATCCACAGCCCCTGGTGCCCACGTTTGATGAGATTCTTCCTTCCCTTCTCTCTCGGTTTACGTCTTGAGCTTCCTGCCTCTCTCTCCATCCTTTCCTTCCTCCCTCTCTCTCCTTCTTTTTTCCCTTTCTTTGTCCTCTTTCTTCTCCTCTTATCGACTGTCAACTTTCAGAGTATCGATCCATTTGAGAATCTGTTAAAATATTTGATTGCTTTAAAAGACTTGAGGATACAACTGGGACAAGTCTGTAATCCCAGCACTCAGGGGTGGCAAAGGCAAGTGGATCTCTGGGAGCTCGAGGACAGCCAGGGCTACACAGAGAAACCCTGTCACCAAAACAAACTAACAAAAATGAGGACACAAAGTTGGGTGGATATGAGTCTGAGGGGGTGGATCTAGGAGGATTTGGTGAAAGGATGAACATGAACAAAATACAATGTATGAAATTCTCAAGGAACTAATAAAACATTTTCTTTAAGTTAAGTGTTTTTTTTTTTTTCTTTTCTCCAGGAAAACCCATGTGTGCCTATATAAGCCCTGGATTTGGTTTTCTTTTCTTCTCCTTTTCCTTTTGTTTGTGTACGATATGTTCATGTGCTTGTACATGTGTGTGCGGGTACAAGCATCCACCTGGGCATATGTATGCTGAGCAAGAGGACTTTAGAAGTCCTGCTTGGTCATCCTCTACCTTATTCCCTGTGCAGAGCCTCTTACTGACCTGGGAGCTTGCCTTTAAGCTGGCTGTCCAGCAAGCCCCCCAGATCTCTCTGCCCACTTGGGATGCTGCTGGTGAACAATCCTGAAAGCTTCTAATGATTTTTGTTTTTTGCCCAATTTCTGTATGGGAAGGAGAGCCAGAGTGCTTAGGCAGATCCTCTGCAATCAGGTCAGAGTGATGTGGTAAACGCTGGCATTGCGTCCACTCGGAAGCCCGTGTGCCAAAGCTAAAAGGTAGCATGCTTACA